AGCTGTTCCTCAGTCTAGTGGTTCTACACTTAATGCTCCTTAACCTCCTTCCTGAGGGGAGTGGGGCAAAAAGTGTGTGTGCTGGGTGGGTGGGGTCCTTCATGATGCAGGTGGCCCTCTTCCTGCATCTGGAGGTGTAGATGTCTGTGATGGTGGGGAGACTGATTCCAACAGATTTCTGTGCAGCCTTCACCACTCTCTGCAAAGCTTTTCTTTCTGCAGCTGTGCAGCCTCTATGCCACACATTGATGCTCGAGCACAGGATGCTCTCCACTGCACACCTGTAGAAGGAGGTGAGGACTGAGCTTCCCAGACCAGCTCGCCTCAGCCGTCTGAGGAAGTAGAGTCTCTGATGAGCTTTCTTGATCAGGCTGGTGGTGTTGTTGCTCCAGCTGAGGTTGTCATTCATGTGTACACCCAAGTACTTGTAGCTGGAGACCACTTCCACCGCAGATCCTCTTATGTTCAGGGGGGTGTATGTGTTTTTGTTCCTTCTGAAGTCCACAATCATCTCCTTTGTCTTCTTCACATTGATGTGAAGGTTATTCTCTCTGCACCAGCTCTCCAGGTGTTCCACCTCTTGCCTGTAGCTGGACTCATCATTGTTTGTGATGCATCCCACCACCGCTGTATCATCTGCAAACTTTACAATGTGACAGCCTGGATGGGTAGCTGCACAATCATATGTGAGCAGAGTAAACAGAAGGGGGCTCAACACACATCCCTGAGGAGAGCCAGTGCTGAGGGTTATGGTGGAGGAGGAGAGGTTGTGGATCCTCACTAACTGTGGTCTGTTTGTTAAAAAGTCTAGTACCCAGTTGCAGATGGAGGGGCTTAGTCCTAGTGTGGATAGTTTGTCCATCAGGGTTTGGGGGATCATGGTGTTGAAGGCGGATGTGAAGTCCACAAAGAGCATACGGACGTAAGAGTTTTTCTGCTCCAGGTGGTTGAGTGCAGTGTGGACCACAGAGGAGATTGCATCCTCTGTTGATCGGTTCTCACGGTATGCATACTGATGAGGGTCCTCGTTGATGTTGATGGTTGTTTTGATGTGAGTCATGACCAGTTTTTCGAAGCATTTAGCGACTATCGGGGTGAGGGCCACTGGCCGATAGTCATTCAGACCAGTCACTGTAGAGCTTTTTGGGACTGGGATGATGGTGGCAGTCTTCAGGCAGGTGGGAACTGTCTCCAGGGTAAGTGAGGTGTTAAAGATGTCTGCCAGCACCTCGCAGAGCTGATCAGCACATTCCTTCAACACTTTTCCGGGGATGTTGTCTGGGCCAGTTGCTTTGTGCGGATTAATCCTCCTGAAGGTACTCCTTACTTCTGCTGAGGTCACGCTGAGATGCTCTTCATCCGGTGGCGAGGTGAGTCTGGTGCTGGGTGGTCTTTTCCGGTCTTCAAAGCGTGCATAGAACTTGTTTAGGGCATCAGGCAGAGATGGGTCTTTGGGGCATTGTTCACTCCTTCCTTTATAATCTGTTATGCACTTAATGCCCCTCCACATGCTCCGAGGGTCTTGTGAGATGAATTGACCCTCGATCCTCTGTGCATATGTGGCCTTGGCCCTCTTAATACCAGCAACCAGCTCTTTTCTTGTCCTACTCAGCTCCTCTGAGTTTCCAGACCTGAAGGCAGTGTTCCTGGCTTCCAGCAGGGTACGCACCTCTGCATTCAGCCAAGGTTTTCTGTTTGGGTAGCTTTTAACATTTCTGATAGTGGAGACTGTGTCAGTACATGTACTAATGTAACCCAGTACTGAGGATGTGTATTGGTCAAGATCAAGCGAACCTCCATTTTCAGCAGCTTCTCTGAAAACCTGCCAGTCTGTTCGGTCAAAACAATCTCTCAGTATGGGGCCACTGTCCTGGATCCAGCATTTAACTTTCTTTTGTACCGGTCTGGAGCGTCTCAGCGGGGGCATGTAAGCAGGAGCCAGGAAGATTGAGATGTGGTCTGACAGTCCTAGGTGGGGGCGGGGTTCGGCTTTGTATGCATCTTTTACGTTCGTGTAAACACGGTCCAGCGTGCGGTCTCCATGTGTTGGAATCGTCACATGCTGATTAAAGCTTGGGAGACAGTCCTTTAGATTCACGTGGTTAAAGTCTCGGGCTACCACGTAAAGAGCCTCGGGGTGTTTGTTCTGCAGCGAGCTGATGATATCATGTAGCTCCTGCAGTGATTCATTAGCATTAGCGTCCGGAGGAATGTAAACATAATCTAAATGAAAAATCCGTAAATCATAATGTATGATTTTTTAAATAATTTATTTGTGTGTTACTGCTGCAAATAAGTATTTCAACACCTGCCAATCAGCGACAATTCTGGTCCTCAAAGACCTGTTAGTCCGCCTCTGAGAAGTCCACCTCCACTCCACTTATTATTGTAATTAGAAGCACCTGTTTTAGGTTGTTAGCTACATAAAGACACCTGTCCACCCCACACAATCAGTAAGACTCCAACTACTAACATGGCTAAGACCAAAGATCTGTCCAAAGACACCAGAGACAAAATTGTAGACTTCCACAAGGCTGGAAAGGGCTACAGTGCAATTGCCAAGTAGCTTGGTAAAAAAAGATCCACTGTTGGAGCAATTTTTAGAAAATGGAAGAAACTAAACATGACTGTCAATCTCCCTCGGACTGGGGCTCCATGCAAGATCTCACCTCGTGGCGTATCAATGATCCTAAGAAAGGTGAAGAATCAGCCCAGAACTACACGGGAGGAGCTGGTCAATGACCTGAAGAGAGCTGGCACCACTGTTTCCATGGTTACTGTGGGTAATGCACTAAGACTTCATAGTTTAAAATTATGCATGGCACGGAAGGTTCCCCTGCTTAAATCAGCACACGTCCAGGCCCGTCTTAAGTTTGTCCATGACCATTTGGATGATCCAGAGGAGTCATGGGAGAAAGTTCTGTGGTCACGAGACCAAAATAAAACTTTTTGGTCTTAATTCCTCTCGCCGTGTTTTGAGGATGAAGAATGATGAATACCATCCCAAAACACCATCCCTACTGTGAAGCATGGGGGTGGAATCATCATGCTTTGGGGGTGTTTTTCTGCACATGGGACAGGACGACTGCACTGTATTAAGGAGAGGATGACCGGGGCCATGTACTGAGAGATTCTGGGGAACAACCGCCTTCCCTCAGTTAGAGCATTGAAGATGGGTCATGGCTGGGTCTTCCAACATGACAATGACCTGAAGCACACAGCCAGGAGAACCAAGGAGTGGCTCCGTAAGAAGCAGATCAAGGTTCTGGAGTGGCTAGCAAGTCTCCAGACCTAAACCCTATACAAAAACTTTGGAGGGAGCTCAAACTCTGTTTCTCAGAGACAGCCCAGACACCTGCTGATCTAGAGAAGATCTGTGGAGGAATGGTCCAGAATTCTGCTGCAGTAAACCTGGTGAAAAACTACAGGAAACCTTTGACCTCTGTAACTGCAAACAAAGACTACTGTACCAAATATTAACATTGATTTTCACAGGTGTTCAAATACTTATTTGCAGCAGTAACACACAAATAAATTATTAAAAAATCATACAAAGTGATTTCTGGATTTTTTAATTTAGATTATGTCTCTCACAGTGGACATGCACCTAAGATGAAATGTCAGACCCTCCATGATTTTTAAGTGGGAGAACTTTTAAAGTCGCAGGATGTTCAAATACTTATTTTCCTCACTGTATTTGTGGACGTCCGGCCCTCATACCACCCTCATGGAGTTGTTTCTGACAGTTTGAGTGGAAACATGCACATTATTGGCCTGCTGGAGGTCATTTTGTAGGGCCCTGGCAGTGGACCTCCTGTTCCTCCTTGCACAAAGGACGAGGTAGCGGTCCTGCTGCTGGGTTGTAGCCCTCCTACGGCCCCCTCCATGTCTCCTGGTGTACTGGCCTGTTTCCTGGTACCTATTCCATGTTCTGAACACTGTGCTGAGAGACACAGCAAATCTTCTTGCCACCGCTCGCATTGATGTTCCATCTTGGATTAGCTGCACTTCTTGAGCAACTTCAGTGGGCTGTAAAAACACCTCATGGTGCCTCTATGTGTGACAGCACTGACAAAATGAAAAAGTGACTAAAAGTTCAATCAGAAAGGCCGAGAACAGAGAAATGACCTGTGATCACAACCTGTAGAATCACTTTTTATAGGGGTTGTCTTGCTAATTGCCTCTCATTCCACCTGTTGTGTTTCCATTTGCACAGCAGCAGCTGAAACTGATTCACAAGTGCTACTAACTGGTGACATTGAGTCCACAAAAGTGTGACTGATTTGGAGTTACATTGTTTTGTTAAGGTGTTCCCTTTTTTTTTAGCATTATATATATATATATATATATATATATATATATATATATATATATA